TCGTCTTCGGCTGGTGACAGCCCAGTCCAGCGGTTTCAACTTCAATAATGACATTTTGAGGATCTCAGAAAGCCGAGATCAACCTATTGGCCTGAAAACTCCACCGCCGCGAGCGAAGACTCCCATCGTTTGCAAACGGAGTTGTCGCAGCGTCGGTGACTTGCGAGTGAATTAGTTTATAATGAGGCAGATTACCCACACCCGTCTTGCTCCGAAAGCAAGAAAATATAAAGACAACCGGGGCTGGGCTCGGACTCTGTGGCTGAGAAAACCAAACAACGCGCTGAAAAGGAGGCACGATTGCTGGAACAAGTGCCTTATTAGCCAGACGTTTCGGATTCTCAATCAAATTCATCATCAGAGACAGTGTCAGATAAGGGTAGTGGATTGCCCAGATGTAGCAGTATTTAGAGGATTTATTTGCTAGGCCGCTACATGCCTATCACAGTTGGCAGCTTCCGAGTCCATCACAGCTCGACTGGCCAGGTGGTGAAGTATGCCGTTGCTATGCGTCTCCATGCCGGTCAAGATTATCGGCCCCCACGCTCATCGCACGCCGCCGAGTGACTGACCATCGGATTTCGTCATCCATGTGGACTCTTGGGCGATTTGGCTCGCCAAAATTGACACCGTGGACAGTCGTTATTTTCACGGTCTCCTCACGGCTAAATACTTTGCCTAAGCTAAGTCGGCGCCGAATATGGAGGTGGGGAGGTCGTTGCGCTTGATGATTGAGTGAGGACCCGAAAACCATGACGCGAGCAGTTCGCTGCTCACACGTTTTTCGCCTCCAACAAGAATTTCTGCCTCGTCAAACTTGGATGTGCGGTTGGCTCCTGTCGAATGAGTCGACGTCGTTCCTGCTCACTGCTGCCGCGTGTTCAGCCAACCGCGTCTGTGGTATTCTTCCGGCTTCTTCGACATAGTTGCTTTGTTCAAGACTACGCCAGACCCGGTAAACAACTCCAGATGTTTCCTACCGTGGCAGTGGACCTTTCAGCTTCATGACCTTGCGCCTTATGGTTACCTCCGGCATGTGTGCAGTTCCGATTCCATGGGGCGTAAGAAGGCGACTGACCTCTTCCAAAACATTCTTCACGTACGGAACAGCTCGTCGAAATTCGGGGCCGGTTAAACTTTGTCTGTTGCCTCGTTCAGGCAGGCACTGGTTGCGCGGGTAGCCAATGACTCTTAGCACCTCTCAAAGGTATTGTACTCCAGAAACCTTGTCTTGCGGTTCACTGCAATGTGTCTCCCCCCGCTGGTATGGCGTCCTTATGCAACTGCGTCTGTGCCTGCTGCTATGGCTCAGTGCTTGCGTCGTGTTCGTCACCTGCATACAGACCTTAGTTTTTAAGTCACTGCGATAGGCATGTAGTGGCCTAGCAACTACATCCTATAAATACTACAACGTCTGAGCAATCCAGCAGCCTCATCTGACTCTGTCTCTGATGATGGGTTCGAGTGAGAAGATGAAACGTCAGGCTAATAAAGCTCTTGTTCCAGCGAAAGTGTCCCCAATCTCGACGACGCGTGCCACACATGTACTGGCCTCCACAGTATACACAGGCTACAAATATCACGCAGCGAGAGTGTCGTTGAGGCCACATTGAGGGGGAACGTTTGCAGCCTGACTCCCGCTTCTGAGAATGACGGCATTATACTGTCACTTGGCAACCTTTCAAGCCATGACTTATCCCGTCCCGTTGTAGTCGTCAAAATTATTATAGCGCGGAACGTGCTGATATATCGTCAGTATCAATTCCCCCGAGTTTCGGCCTAGCTCGCTCTCGTCTATCCCGCGGTCTGTCCATCGGCGAATGATGGTATCCGGCCCCGTTGCCGACGCGGCGCGTAGACTTTACTCTGAGACCTGCCACCGGTCACATGTTCGACAGAAGATATGGACAAGCACGGAGTCCGTGCAGCCAGAGACCATTACAACATTTCGCGTTGATCCAGCGTTAATAAAGTGCTTACCAATAGAAGGGAAGAGACGAGTCCCAGGAAGTAGTTTTAAAGAAGGAGACACGATCGCTGTGTCAAGAGCTTTATTATGTTGACGTTTTGGATTCCTGCTCGAACCCATTATCAGAGAAAATGGCAGACAGGGGTGGTTCATGCGCAACGAGGCTGCAGTTGCAGTCGCCATGCTACCGCATACCAATGATAATTCACGGTCCTCCCCCCCCCCTTAATCAGGGATTTTTGCACTTGGTTTGATGACTGTTTGATGGCCGACATTCGCGGTGGTTCATGCACAAGGGGCTGCAGTATTTATAGTCGGCCAGGCGGAGCGATTAGCCACGCGGGGAGCACCCAAGTGAACACTTTTCCCAACTCAAGGGTCGGTGGGTCACATGGTCCAGCAATCATCACACCAGCATCCAACGCACGTGATGAAATTGCAGCAATTAACGACACGAATGTTAGCCGTCAAACAGTTATCAGACGAATTGCAACGATCCCTGACGAAGGGAGAGCCGTGAATGTGCATAGGTATGCGGTAGTCTGGCGACTGTATCCTATAAATACTGCAGCCCCATGTTCATGAACCACCCGTATCTGCTTTTGTCTCTGATCATGGGTTCGAGCAGGAATCCGAAACGTCAGGCTAATCAAGCTCTTGTCCCAGCGATCGTGTCTCCTTCTTCAAAAACGCATACCCTTGTGGGGACAAATCTTGTTAGCCATGGATCGGCAGGTTTTTAGAAGAGTGAAGGACTTTGGCTGTCTACCCTAGTAGCACTTTTCGAATACTACTGATACTCTACGGATAAACCGCCCATCAATCAACGACGCAAGTTGGCCTGGATTATCGCCAAGCGCAGAAACTTACTCCTGCCAAGGATGTGCTAGGCAGAACTGCAACAGCGACAAGTTTGGAGACTAATCTCGGATAAGTTCGTGCAAGCTGACGCAAGACTCTCACTCGAACAATTTCCGGCTGGAGAAACCAACGACATTCTATAAAAACGTCCACTGTCCTTAGTAAAGATCTCCTCAAGTGATTTAAGATCAAGTTAAAAACTGTATCATATTAACTAAGCCTATCTTAATGATCCATGCCTGAAAGAGGAGAATATCTCAGTACAATAAAATCCCAGTAAACAGAATTTGTGGCTCACGTGTACAGACTGAAAAACGCCGCACACAAGGGTTTTTAGGCAATGCAAACGTGTTTCTTTGCTTTACGAGAAACACAATAGCCTTTTTTAAAAACACCAAGGGAAACGAAAAATTGACTTCCTGGACTATGTGCAGACTAGTTGGGAAACCCCTGAATCACCTAAGCAAGAACTTTTTTCAAAAACAAAACAACGTGCAGAAATCTCTTGGATGCTGTAACTCAAGCGCACTCATCCATCAGGTGTAGGATGGAGGTGGAAATGGCAGTCTCTCTGCCTTTCTCAGACGTCCTTATAGGCGGAAGAGCTGACAGCATCGTTCGAAGAAGTGTTTATCGAAAAGAAACCTGGTTTGGTCTATACACGAAATTTTGCAATTAGGTACCCCTTTAACAGAAAATTTATCAAGTCCCTTGTTTGACACAAAGAACTTGATAAATATGTTTTTTGATAAAGAAGTTAGAAGAATTCAAGACCTGCTTTGCGAAAACGGGTATCCTGACAGATTTTTAAAAGAGTCTTACCGAACAACCGGCAAAACTCACCACACGGACAACAGCAAAGAAAACTCTGTTCCTCCCTTTTCGACGAATGGACTCCTGAGAAAATGCCTTGAGTAAGCCGTTTCACGAACCTTCCCGGTAGCAAGAGTTCAGACATTGTTCTTTACCAGCCCCTTCTCACCCAGGGAAGGTAAGGATAAGTTGCCAACTTAGACCACTCCTATTTGCATTTAATCTTTTACTTGCTCTTGTGGAACAGATTATGCTGGTCGTAAGAGTCGGCGCCTATCCAGAAAGATTACGAGAACACCTGTCGGCGTGGCTACGGAAAAGTAAAATTAAAAGCGTACGCAGCCCAATCCTCGCAGACATGATTGATTCTAAGCGTCGTGTGGACTCCGAAGAAACCTTCCGTGTGATTTACACCGTCCCACCTAACTAGCCTAAGCAACTGGGGTAGTGCCTATTACTAACAGCTTAAGCAATTGCCATCGAGCTGTGGAGGCCGGTCCTGTGCGCACAGAAGTACCTCCTGCAAGATCTGCGTCTACCGTAGTCAAAGGTAGAATAACTGCATGCATTTCTTCGCGCCCAGTTCCCCCCTCCCCTCCACCCGTGACACAGTCCTTCCTAACCCCCACTGCCACAACTACCACCTACCTCCTCCTGCCCTCCTTATTCATACACCCGTTTTTATGATAAGACGAACGGTGGTGGATTCCTCATATCGTTGACACTTTTTTCTTCACTTTGACCGAACTTTGGAAAATTCGGTGTCTCGGTGGTATTTGCACTCAGGACAGCAAGGGGAAGCTTTAGTAAAGCCAACGCTCTAACCATCTGAGCCATGAGGCCCCACCGGACGACGCAAGTTTAATCACATTTGGGTCAAGTTTACCCGCCTGGAATTCACCAAATCTGATACAGTAAGCTGACTGCCCAAGCAGGGTTTCCTAAGTAATACATATAGAATCCACCAGATCACAACCAGGCTCACGTACTTCAGAGGTGTTTTGGCAAATTTCAAATAATTCACTTTGACCCAATTGTGAAGAACTCGGTGCCTCGGTGGGATTCGAACCCGCGACAGCAAGGGGAGGCTTTGTTAAGCCAAACCTCCGAGCTACGAGGTCCCTTTATATCTTGTGCCCATGTAAATGTACACGGCCGGACGAGAATGTATCAAAAGCACGCGTGTGCTCGCCAGATGGTCTTCTGAATTACACATTTTGCTTACATATTATTCCAGCATAGAACGGTCTCTGAACATTGTTTATTTTATGGAAACAGTAGCCAATCGGCTGCTATGCGCCCGCATGTACGCGGATGTGTATATATACATTCTCAGGGTGGGCTCGGTTATGAAACCATGAAGGTAAGTCTGTAAATGATTCCTGCTTCATATATGTCATAAGGTCTGAAATTTAACCGCACAAAGGTTCATACAGCAGGGTTGAAACGTTCTTTTGGTTTGAAAATTTAGGTTGCGGTATTACTTATCGTGCGGCATAATCTCACGATGTTTCAGTTAGGCTAGAATGACGCCTTTTGAACGGACTTCTTCTCAGTCGCCTGCGAAAGCTCTACTCTATAAGAAATGAGTACTTGAATAGTATAATTTCTTCGAGCGATTTCCACGCCTTGATAAATTCAAATATGCCTTAGTGAAAACGTGCATAAAGCCTTATTTTAAGTACTCATTTGGTAACACATTACGTCTACTTTAAATCTTATTCTTGAAGAAAAGGTATTTTTCGACTTAAAAAACTTTTCAATTCCTGAATAGTTCCGCAACCGATCTGGTGTTTAACTTAAATCTACGATTTTCAACTTACGAGTCGTATAATTTTCCTGCGAAGAAAAAGACATATATATATATATATGTTATCGAGAAGATGTCACGTAGGTCTCATAAACCTTGCAATGGATATGGTCCACTTGATATGATTAATAAGCAGCATTACTAAATATACAGATATAATGTTTTATGAATGGGCATTTTGCGATCTTAAACAATTTCACAATAAGAGCCTTCTTAAAACCATAAGGTGCTTTTTCTGTAAACAGCAAATTAAAGAGGACTTGATTTGCTGCTAAATAAGTATATGGAATAGTGTTTGTGCTTCTTTTCTAAAAAGTATTTTTTTAACCTTATAAGTCCATCGAAAATCTACGGGAAAAATCATACCCTTCAAATAGCCATTTTCAGGTGGTTGAAAATAAGCTCATTCGAAAACCGGCATCTGATTATGCTGCCTTTGAATTAAAATTCATTTGAGAATTTTGATCAGCTTCTCATGAGCTTACCTATCTACTGTAACTTTGCTTCATTATACCACCCACGGGCAATCCCAAAAGGGTTTCGATTAGTCAGACCGAAAAGAGAGAGCTTAATCGGTGTAAATATGTTGATGCACAATTATCTCCTTCCACATTCTTCCTGGAAAAGGATAGAACTTACATTCAGAACACGCTACCCGTATAGCTCCCAGAAGCAGGAACATAAGGAGATATTAACTCTACTTTTTAAGATATAGGATGACCATTTCTCTTTATTTTGCAGCAAGTTACGTCACAAAATGCCTACCGAAGCCTCTAGTTAAAAAACAACGGTTAAAAGAATAATAAGCGGATATCGCATTTTAGGATCTTCCAATTTAGAAACTTTCGTGGAAAAAAGGCGAAAGGTTTATACTTCAGTGCCCTCCATTCACTTCGTAGTTCCAAATTTAGTTTGTGTTTTGTCCTACAATTTGCACACTTTTTAAAGAACATGATTGCTATATTCTTTGGTTGTAGACTTTATGATGTTACTAAATAAAAGCTGAATCACACTTACTAGTGAAGTTAAATACCTTAAATTTATTTCATGCAGACAACAATTCTTCTCCTGCTATGCCTCACTGCTTCGCTGGGATGGGCACAGAGTGCGTTTCTCCATTCATTTTCATTGTTATTGCGCTCTTTTGTTATCGGATTCTTTTTTATCTGCCTGGCAACTTTCAATTTCCCAATTGGGAGGGAGAGAGAGCGTCTTTTGGAGGTGAAATTTAACAAAACGCACATATTTTCCACAGCATGAATGATTCCCATTTTCAGTTTGCGCTCACGTCCAGTAAAAATGATTAAAATTCATTACACAATTTAAGGATAGAAAAAAAATAGGACATAATCCTTGAAAAATGGATGAAGTCTTAGAACTATATTTGTTTTTTCATCCTGAATTTTTCGCCAAAAGGGCAGTTTTCTGTCAGTGTGAGCATGTTGGACTGCTCAGCGGGAGGTTTAGTTGCTCGAAATTGTCATTAGAGGTCGAAAAGACAGTCATTTACACGATGACCTTTATTTACTCACGATTCCCTCGATGTCGTCAACTGTCAAAGGTTGCTCCTTCGTGGAACCAGCTGGCGCATTTCTCTAGCTGAAAAGTGTGTCCAACAAGGTGTTATCCCTAGAAACGTTTCATCAGCGGACGGCAAGTCAAGCCCGGATCGCTCAGATAGCTGTATGCAGGTTTTACACTTCGGCGCATAGATAAACAAATCCTTTCAGGGGGGGGGCTTGCTTAATCTGAGGACGAACCTAAAGTAGAAACTTTTGTTTTTTAACTTCCTCAGAAATTAACTGATACCTTGGAGCGGATCAGTTTAAACCAAAGTCTATAGGAGTTAGCAGTTAATTTCTGAGGAAATTAAAAGCGGCAATTTCTAAACTGGAGTATCTATCAGAAAGTCCACGGGGGCCCACTGATGAGACGAACCCATTGCAGTCATGCAGTCAGCAGAATATGAAGGAAACGCGTGTCTGGGCTTTTAGCTAGTACGTGTGCTGTTAGTATGGTATCCTGCAGGTTAAAGTGCAAAGCTAGTTCTCTAGCAAGTCCACCAGCGGGGCACATGAAAAAATACGTCGAGTGAATAGGACGTGGCTATAAATATCCCCCGCGTTACAGTCGGTCTTGTTAGAGTTAATGTTAGGAGAGTTTGGGTTGAGATTTGGAGGGAAAACGTTGAGGTTAGGTCCGGCGTCATGGTCTTAATTATAACAGGAAAATAGGCAGCGCTCTTTGAACTTATCGGTTGTAGCATGAGGGGCATCTACATCCGTGTCCAACCCCTTGAGTGTTCGCATGTATGAGTAGGAGCTTGAAAATAACATTCATGTCGACCTCCTAGCCCCGAGTTTCCACGTGCACACTTATGATTCGTGTAAGTTTCTTGCAGATCGGTGCATCGAGCCCCACGAAAAGGCAGTGTACTCTCCTCCAAAGTGGCGAATATGCAACTTATCATAGTCTCTGCCATGTAGCTACCTGGCGTAAACTGACACGATTTACGTAGACATATTCGAAACACAAAATAATTATGAAGGCGAAATGGTGTGATTAAGGTAGATGTGCGAGTATCATTAAATACTTTGTTAGCCAATATATACATATATATATTACGCCTGTGAAGCAGGAGGATAAAACAGACAAATTTGCTTCAGGGTGGCAGCGGACATCGGGACAGCGATCCAGTCACACAGTCATCTGGGGCGGTCCGGCCTCGTATCCGGGATATAAGGGTCAGAGTCAAAGCAGCCGAGTGTCGCAGTATCGTCCACCCAGACCAGCCAACCCCCCAAGACTGCAGAGCCAGTCCAGTTATGAGCGCAGATCCTATGAACCCGCGCCGAGACGAGTGCAGTACGTTCCCCTACGCAGTCGACGAGCCAAGGATCCCCGCTACCGTGAGGGACTGCAGGATCTGGCTGGATTAATGTGAATATCCTCGCGTGTTACCTCTACCAATACTGTCTTTTGTTTCGAAAATTCAAAATGTAAACCTTTTCCCTTATTTATTAAATACATCCGCCTAAAAACACGTGTTCATAATGCGAAATGTTGAAGTGGAGTGTTCAGTAATACAACTAAATACCCCCCTCCCCAGAAGTTGCTCTGTGATGGTTAGTTTATCAGCCTAAATTCAATGCTCACATAACCAGGAGGGCATGGACGTGTAAATAATTTTTACGACTGAGGGTGAGGAGGGCCTCACTTACCGAATGTATGGGGTATTTTGTCGTTTTTCCCGTAGAATTGCTACGGCAAGTGAATAACTTCCAGAATAAGTGAATTAAAGTGCAGGTCAATCCGTATGAACTCAAAATAGGGGTTAGGCAGTCCAGCGTGAGATAAACGTGCCTAGCATTTCCGAGGAATTAAGAATGACCAAGGCGGAATGCAGTAGGTTTGGTAAGGAATGCCATCCAGCACTTCTGGACGAAAGGATAGATGAAATAATATTGAACTCGATGTTTTGCAAAGGCGCTTAAGTCCAGAAGAGTGCCCCCTAAACCGGCCACGTGGCAGATGCACTGGACCAACACGGGGGTCATATCGGATTCTGCTAGGCGTTATCGGAATGCACACCACAACGAATGAAAACATTTCGGAATGCAGCGGCGGAACCGGTTGCAGGCGGACGTCGTGCACATTGGGACCCATGTCGCCCCCTCCTCATTGTTGTTTTTGGTTGAAAACCTGGTCATTTGCTGTGTGGACCAGAGGGTGTGCAGTGGAGCGCCAAGGTGCGGGCTCGACCGTGTCATCCACCTGCGCCCTCGCCCGCCGCCGGTTTTCTTGACTCTGTCTTGACATAGGGTCCAGGTGGGGAAGGAGGAGAGTGTGGTAGATGCTGTGCAAGTCTACTATCACAATAAACGAATTCACGCACAAGTTACCTTCCCTGCTTCGCCACGCTGTGGAGCACACGGTGGAAAACGTCGGAAACAACGGTCGAACTGTCATACTGCGGACAGTGGAGGCAGATGAGGCGGATGTATGTCGGGTCCAGAAGATGTCTTACCTGACTGCATGTATGTGTTAAACGTTCAGGCCTCGCGTCTCTTCTGCACGGACTATAAATGCACATCATTCGCGCTTCTGAGACCTTGGAAGACGGAAGGTACCAACATCAGCGAAGTTTCGAATGATTTTGACAAGCGAATTTTATTTGCGGTGCAATTTGTGGACATCTGACTACATCTATCTGCCGCAAATAGTCTGCATACAGTGGTCAAGCGAATTCGTTGGGTAGCCTTTGATCGAACCACCCGTCAAGATCACGAATGAAATTCGGTTAATTATAATGCCGCAACTAGGTAAACATTTAAACACTAAATAAGTTTATCGGGCATGACGACGGTTGTGGGTATGACCAAGAGCCTGATCTGGTGTGCTTCAGTGTCCGCCTATATTTTGTACAAACGAAGGTTACCTAAGCCTGAAATTGACTTAATAATTAACCGTACGATTAAATTGCCATCACTCGCATCTAGCCAAGTCAGGGAAAATAAGAAAGGGAAGACTGCATATTTGGAATAGACACATTTACCGACAAAGGCCTCGTCAATGTTTTTTCGAAGGCTCGCTGGTCACGGGGGATGATTGTTAAATTCACTACGGGCGTCATGCACGTGACATCGATCACACAAGCCTCGTCCTACTCTTATTGTGATTCAGGGTTATGACTACAAGAAGGAGACTGGCAGTGAAACCGAAATCATTGACCGAGGCATACACTTATTTAAATAGGTGTGTCTCACAACGGTTTGCCTGACAAAAGGTCACAAAAAGGGATATATAGGGAGCGGTTTTTGAACTACAATGATGTCGAAATTGCCCGTATCGGGCTCAAGCTTAGAGTTAATGCCGAGGTTAGTGTTAGAAGTAGAGTTATCCTTAGGACTAGGAATGTCAGACTTGAATTACGGTTGGGATCTGGGGTTGAGGTTATGGTTGCGGTTAAAAAACTTCGGCTTGGGTTGGGGTTACGTTGGAGTTATCCTTAAATTGCTAACGGGTTAAGGGCAAGGGCTTCACGTTGCAGACATGGCCATGCTTGGCGTTAGGGTTGTAGCTAACAGCACTTTTTCCGGGTAGGTTACGTACCATAACCTTGCATTATAACGTTTTTCCCGAAGCCATTAATACATCCTTATGAGCCATTTCCATAAAGCAAATGTCTTTAAAACTAGTTTACATCCCAGGCACAACCCATCTAAGATTGGTGAGACTTCTGTTGGTTTTGCACTCCGTGATCCAGTAGCCCCGCGGTCGAGCTTACTCACATCTAACTGACAGGCCCATCCAGAGTGGTTTCTGCCCAGTTGCATCCGTTGCATTTGAATGTCAAATTTGGAAATATCACCTATCAAGGTTAAAATTAATGTCTGACGGCAAACTTGCGCTTTTAAGTCTGTAGTAGACAAAGTTCTCTGTAGATTAAAAACCCGCCGTGACTTCGAAGAGTCGGTAGAGCTTCGACATGTCTTCAGATGCAAAGTATTCTTGCGACGCATAAGTTGGATTGGCGTATGAATTGGGGCGCCAAGGTGCGGGCTCGGCCGCGCCATTCACTTGCTACTTCTCTCGTCTCCGGTCATCTTGACTCCGTCTCGACACCGATCCCAAGTGGAGGGAGAGGGGAGAGTGCAGTAGCTGCAGCGCAAGTCTACACTCATTATAAAGTTAGTCGCACGTAAGTCACCGTGTCTGCTTCACCTTCCTGTGGAGCATACGGTGGACATCGTCAAGTACGATGGTCGAACTGCCGTATGGTCAATGTTTCGATGAATTCCGTTGAAAGCAGAGCCGTGAGGCATAAATCCCCGATTGTAGAGCATCCACTGGGAGGGTTTCAATAAGCATACTGTCTTTACTTGCTGACTCTGTCTTTCCCGAACAACCAAGATGCTAGAAAAGCAAGTTCACACTGGGCATTCAAAGTGAACGTTGAATATCGACTAGCAACTCAGAACTCATGGAACCGCCTATCTTCTCATTTTTGAAACTCAACGACTAGCGAGCCTGCATTTGACATGGACTGAAGAGACCGTTTGACTGTACTGAAATCCGGTCGATTCTGTCGAATCATACCGACGTCTGTCGACTTTTCCGCAATATGAAAATCTGCTAAAATCATCCACATCCGTCACAAACAGCAACAGCAAATGATTCTGAATATGCCGATTAGAGAAAGCCCTACCTGAGTAGTCACGCTACTTGGAGAGAATCGATGGACTTCAAACCTCGGGATAAGTTGGACCGTAATCGCAACCCACTTGTGAAAAGCTCAACCAGGGCGTGGCAGTACTGGCCGAACTAAATCCTTGTTGGTTCTTCCAGGGGTTCTAATGTGCGCCAAATTGCGGGCTTTCATAACTGGAAAGTCAGCTAAAATCCCCTGTTTGATTATTTTTACGACGCGGATGTGGTATAAAATAACCAAATAGGATTTGCTCATAGGCCTGATTCAACAATCCGCCGGAAAGTTATGCAGCCAAAAGAACCTATCCCTAAGCAGGTGAAGTCGACCGTCGTCTACCCACTTCAATGCAACCAAGGGGTGTGAAAATACGCTGGCGAAACTGGCCGGCGGTTGCAAACGTGAATGCATGCGTAACGGTTGTCCGCGCAAAGGTTGGTGTCAGTGTCGGAGGTGACAACCCATGCTGCGCAGACAAGACACACATTTAACTTTGACGACACTGAGACTGTGGGACGAGGGGGTGATGACACATCAAAAGAGGTGTTAAAGCCTGGACGTCCACCGACTGCTCAGGACAGTGACGGCGTGCGAAGATCGGGGCGACTAATTATCGCCGCAGTCATTGCAGACGGGGGGCGACCGGGGTCACGGTGAAATGGAGGTTGGATTCAACCCCACAGTCAGCATTACCGGCCTGCGCGTTAAGAAAATTCCACCATAACATAACAGTGGTGTACAAGACTCGCCGGTCTCTGAATATGGGTAGACTAAAACACTAACCGAAACACTGAACCTCAAA